TAGATTCGAGACCGTTGAAGCTTAATGATGATAAGGAAAATCAGATCGGATTCGCCACGCAATGCTTCAAGCTGTCTGTCACATGCGAGGCTAGCAACGTGGAATTGAGGCTTAGAAGTCACTTCACTTTCCCACTGATTTCAGGTTAACATGTTTTAGTACTTTAAATTGCTGTACCCTTCGATAAATATTGTTATTTCACAGGGCTACCGCTAGTACCTTGTCATTGTCCCCGACACAACCTCAAGCAGGTGGAGTCACTGCTAGCCAAGACAGTTACCAAGGCTCTATCAATGGATGTTGTAGCTATCCCAGCCAGCCAAGAAACAAGCTTCCGACTAATAAAGACGGATGTCGTTCTAATAAGAAACTCTTGGCGGTTGGGTGCCGTCACTTGGCCGCATCTATCAACAGCCTACCCCAGATCAACAGTGCACAAGCTCCGCCAAGTTCACCCAGCCGCCTCTGATTACATGCATCTTGTATTTATTCATGATCTAGTGTCTAGGCGGAATGGATCTCTTAGTTATTATCATGCATTTTCGTTTAGCAATACGACTTGGCTTGGCTTGAATGGCGGAAGCTCAGTTGCCAAGCTTTCCGCCAAAACCACGTTGCTGTCGTAGCGCTTATTGAGTATATGTACTGGAGACTGAATGAACTATGGAGTTAAACTTAAGGTTTAATTCTTTACTGAAAATACTTGAGTATTGAGCTGTGAATTATGAGCCATGATCTTTCTGGCGAGCCGAGTCATTGCAGGTCAAATTTATGTATTGGAGCCTATCATATATTGATTTTACAAGGGCTCAAGTCTGAGCACCGCAAATTGTACTTGATGCCTTGTGTTTTAACCTGAAGAGCAAAAATTATGAAGCAAATTTCTTTATATTTCGGGCGTGACCTTGTCACGATCCGTTTGCAGTCCTCTTCTGACTGGATCTGACATGGAGGTTGCTGACGAATCAATAATGCACTAAACACAAGTATCAGCTTATCTGCAACCACCGCATGCACGTATTTTCTCACATTAATGAAATGTACATATAAAGTACGAATCGACTACCCCATCTCCCCTGGACCTCAGAATGCCTGCCTCGGCTCGTGTAGGGTCGAAGCTTGAGTTTGTCAGCGTGAGCCACCCAGACGAGGTAAAAAGCCGGCACAACAAGCGCAAAATTCATCAGCATGTGATGAAAGATATAGGATTATCAAGAAGAAAGAATATGCGGAGTAGGAAGTTAAGGATCGAGCCGGATATTTCAAAGAATCTGGCACTTCACGAAACCCATGCGGCTTACATATTCTCCCAACCAGATAATCATAGGCACGATGTGATATTCCAGTCACCAGTGCATCTTCATGAGCCAGGCGCAGATCGAACACTCTACTCCAGGACTGACATTAGAGCTAAAATGATGGAGGCCTTTCGTAAGTAACATCTATCGTGAACTATAAAATCTCACAAAGGACAGTGCTTCGGCCAAATTCGTCCATATGCGACAAGGCCAGACAGATGTGCTTCGCTATCGGCCTTGTCGACCAAGCTACTCTAAGTCTTGCACTTGCGGAGACCGCCCTATATAGCAATGATTATACAGGTGACATGCATTCTGGACGAGAAGATTCAACTGCACTGAAGCACTACAACCTCAGTTTACGTTTCACCAGCCAAAAGATCCAAACTTCGAATAGCGTGCCTTCTGACGAGATTTTGGTCACTGTTATAGGTCTTGCCAACTACGATGTAATGTTTGAGATCATAGCTGAAAGCCACTGCTAACCACCTACAGATGAGCATAGGTAGAGTCGAACGATATAGCACCCACCTGGCTGGCCTAGAAACCTTGGTGCGCGGCCGCGGAGGAGTAGAAAGGCTTCGTTCATCATATTTGTTATTGTCTTTAATTTGGTAGGCAATAGTTAAGACCTGTCGCAGGTCGGAAACTAACCAAGTTGATATTCACAGGTCAGATGTTATTGGAAGCCTGTCCCTAGACCGTCCGCCGAGATTTGCAGCTCCTTCACACCTATGGACTCAGCATGAGCCGCCCACAGTCACCCATACTCTGGGAAAAACCCTGAACACTCTGAGGAACTTGTCACCTGTTCTTTCAGACTTATGTTCGGTTCTTCTATCACTCACAAGAGTTGCTAAGGCGTCTCTACACTGGGAAGAGTCGACGTTCCTTTACTGTGAAACCATCCTGCATAGTTCATACTTTCTCCTCTTAGTGCCAAGGCACATACCATCAGAGGGCCCAGAAGGGCATTCTTCTAGAATATCACTAATTCACCAAGCCGTTCGTTTGGCCGCTTTGAGGTTTCTCGTCACTGCTGCTGAGCACAGTCATCACACACTCGGCGCCATCCAGTATCGCAAGCCTCAACTTTCACACCTCCTGGCAGATTATGAGATATCGTGGGATGGATTGGAAGAACTTCGGGTCTGGGTACTGGTCATGGCGGCAGTGACCGAAGGGACTCATGACAGAAGCTGGATGACGGAGAGGATAGCTATCACGATTGAACGACTTGATCTGAACTGGACCGAACTAAAGGGAACGCTGAGGCAGCTTGCTTGGGTTGATTCCTTTGAAAGCCAGTTCAGTAAGCTGGAAGAGGCCATGAAGAGTCAGAAGGGGATAGCCAGGGTTGATTCAATACCGCGAAACTGATGAGAAATTGAATTCATGTGATTGGCCAGCTCGGATCAGATATCTCGGACTATGTGCCTCGGACTCTTGATCAACTAACCTGGCAGGCCCCCGATTACGGAAGATCAACCCGTTGTTCCCGTATTAGCATAATTCAATCCATTGAACTCGAGCATTGAATGGTCAGCTCGCTTTCAAACCATATCTAAGCCTCAACTAATGGAGTATATATCAAATAGAGTCGTGCCTCAAATATTTAGCCGAGTAACGTTCCCCAAGTCAATTCCTTCGATTTTGTGATACCTTCCTAATGATACCTGTGGCGATGCGAACTTTGGAAGGATTGGAAGGATTCTGACCGGTTTTAAGCCCCCTATAAGAACTGCGGTTCGAGTGCGAGGGGGGCGTTCCTTTGCGAAGGCACGGCTGTTTGCAATGTTTTGTCTCTCTATTTAAGTAATGAGATTTTCCAGGTCACTTTGAAAACGACACAAGTACTTCCCTTTGTTAGATTATGAGATGAAGGTCAATAGTTTTGTTAGCGCTCTGGCGTTGTTCGCTGCCGGAGCTTGTGCATACAAACAGCTCACTCCCCAACGTGTAGCAAATGATATCAAAGCAGAATAGTAATGAAGTACCCTCTGATCAGATACCTCTTGAGGATCAAAGACTAACTATCTGTAGTCTCAACCAGACGCTTCAAGCTTTATACAAAATCGCCCTCGACAACAGCAATAACCGGGCCTTTGGACTCCCAGGTTACAAGGCATCGCTTGATTTTGTTCTTGCTCGTTTAGGCGGCGGTAACCACTTCGATATCACTGTTCAGCCATTCAATCATCTCTTTTCCCAAACTCGAAAGATTGTCTTGATAGGTCCCGATGGAGAACATGTTGATGCCGTCTCACTGCAGTACAATCATGCAACTCCTCTGCCTGGCGGCGTAGCTGCTCCTTTGGCTCTCGTCCCCATAGACGATGTTCGTGGCTCGGGATGTTTCGAGGACCAGTGGAAGGGCATTGACGTCCAAGGAAAAATTGCCTTGATCAAACGTGGAAAATGTCAATTTGCAAACAAGCTCAAACTGGCCAAGGACAACGGTGCTTTAGCAGCCGTAGTATTCAATGATAATCCCAACCAAACAGCAGGATCTGGCTCCCTCGGAGCTGAGAACTTTGGTAAACTTGCACCAGTCGCTGTCGTCACGAACGACGATGGAAATTCTTGGGCCGAACGTCTTAGAGGAGGAGAGAACCTTGAGGTCAATCTGACCATCGACGTCTTGACTGAAAATCGCGAGACTTGGCAGATCATTGCTGATACCAAGGCTGGTGATTCTAACAGTGTTGTGATGCTGGGTGCTCATCTTGACTCTATTCAAGAAGGCCCTGGAGTTAATGATAATGGAAGTGGCGTCGCCGCCTTACTCAGTATCGCCGAGTCGGTCAAGAGATATAAAAACTTCAAAAACAAGCTTCGATTTGCCTTCTGGGGCGCTGAAGAGAGCGGAATGATTGGATCGACTTACTACGTTTCCAATCTGTCCAAGGATGAGTCCAGCAAGATTCGATTCTACTACAACTACGACATGATTGCCTCTCCGCAGCCTTACTACATCGTGTATGCCGACTCGGACGCACACAAATCTGGCGCAATATACCTTTATGAGTTTTTGACCGGCAAAGGGTATCCTGCTGAGTACATGTGAATTCTGTCTCATAACACCTGTTGGATGGACTCTGCTAACACGCCACAGGCGCTTTGGGGCGTCCTCTGACTACGTGGGGTTCCTTGAACTCGGCATCCCTTCATCTGGTATCTTCACAGGGGCTGGTGCTCCTCAAGATGCTTGCTATCATACTCTGTGTGATGACATCAAGAACGTCAACCAAGAAGCATTCCTCATCAATGCTAAAGCTGCTGGCTACGCCGCCGCAAGTCTTGCCTTGAGTGTAGATGAGGTGCCTATGCATGAAAACTCAAGTGTTAACCCTTTGGACAGGCGTGGAGTAGCAAGAAACATGGTTCGTTGAGCGAATGTTATTGGAGGTGCAGAAAAGATGCATAGCTGTGGGAGTGAGAGCAAGGTCTTTATGTGAGGCAGTGGCTAATGATTTTTAAGTCCGCTATGTAAGATGGAGGTTTGGTTTATGGTAATTTTTAACTTTGAATAATGATCAAAGTTAGGTGCTGGTATTTACAACGTAGGGCTTCTGTTGCCCGGGATGCAGGGGATCTGAAATCTCCCTATCCATGAACCATATAGTTTCGCATTCTTAGCAGACAAACAGATACAGTTTGACATGGGACCTTTTGTGTGTTATTTTTAATTTATAAACAACCCTAAGTAGACAGAATTTTAGGTCTTCCTTCGGCATCTAAATCGAAAACGTCTTCCTCGATCTTGGCCCCATTCCTCAAGGCCTCCTCAAGGCCTCCCCTCAGCATGTAGGGATCAGTTGAAAATCCCTTATGCCACTCTCGTCCTTCATATTCCTCTTCGACGGGTTTCTCACCAGTAGCCTGGATTGCTTTAGCACTCTTTTCAATATTCCCCCAAACTCGGAGAATGTTTTCTCCTGTGAGCAGACGGATCTGCTCATCTGTTGCACCTCGCTGCATGAGCACCTCCATCAAGCTGGGATACTTGGAAACATCCTCTAGCCCAATAGGCACGTTTGACATGCCAAAGAAATCCGCACCGATTCCAACGCAAGTCCAGCCACATACTTCTGCGATGTGGAAGATATGATCAGCCACATCGTGTATTGATGCTTGTTCAGGATGCTTCATGTTGAGGAAGCGGTTGAGGAACACGGCCATAACTATGCCGCCGTTGTGCTTGACCTGTCGAAGAACATCGTCGGGGACATTTCGAAGATGCGGCTCAATAGCGTATGCTCCAGAATGCGAGAAGATCACCGGCACTCGAGCAATACTGAGAACATCCCTCATTGTCTGATGAGAAACGTGTGATAGATCAACCATCATTCCCAACCTATTCATCTCTCTGATAGCTACCTTTCCAAGCTTTGCAAGTCCCGTGTCCGCAGTTCCAGAGGCAACAGTCGAAGCTGCCATTGCGAATGCATTGTCACAGTTGTGGGTAATAGTCATGTACCGTGCTCCCAGTTCGTACATCTGCCGAAGGCTTGCAATGCTGCCACCAACCTGGTGGCCACCTTCAATGCCAATCATGCTTGCGATGCGGCCTGATTTGAAGGCCTTTCTAGCGCAGGCCGCCGTATCGCAATACTCCAGGTCTTTGGGGTGCTCTCGGATGAAGCGCCGAGTCACATCAATTTGTTCAAGCGTGTCTCGAACGATCCACTTTGAGGAGATTAGCAACGGTCCAACACGAGAAAAAATTCGGCGAAAGAATTGCCACTTACAGAAGGATCCTCAAAGTGCTTTTGCTGTTCGTCGCAGTCTACATAGACGCTCCAGAATTGACCTCCGACCATGCCTTGCCTCAGCCGCTGTAAATCTGTATGGCCCAGCAATCGATTAGTAAAGTCGAAACGTTCATCGTAGATGCGGTTCTTGAGTTCAAGGCGGAGCATGAATGGTAGATCATTATGGCCGTCAATTAAACTGTGGACTGTCAGTGCAATTCTCTCTCTCAAGTAGGATCAAGAGTCAGCTTACGGCGTCGTCTTGAGGATTCGCCTGGTACGCTCTGCATAATTCGTGGGATCAATTGACTCTTGGCCAGGCCATAAGAAGGTAAATGGGCTCAGTAAGAGCACGATCCCAGCGGTAATGACTGGATATCGAAATCGTGACCACCAAGCTGTGGCTGAGGAACTGGCGTGTAGTACCAACGCCCCATCGCGATTGTCATTAGTTGACGTCGTTGATTGAGGAGTGTTCGCCTGCTGGCTATTTCGTCGGGGCGGCGAGGCCACAGTCGGTGACGAGTCGGCCATGATCGCCAAACTATGCTTGCGAAAATGAATAACTTGAGCATGGAAATTAATGACCAATTGCTTGAAACTTATACGAGTCTAGATCGGTGCAGAGTTTGCGATTGAGTCATGATTAGTTATCCTTGCTAACCACTGAACGAGTGGAGTCGTAAGCGGGCTACAATGAGATTGACACACTCGTAAGGTAACTCAGCTACACGATGGATGGATCAGCAGACGCAGGGACAGGATTGAAGCAGATAACAAGAAAAGAAAAAGGCATATTTTTGTTGAAACGGCGCCTTGATATGGATCATGTCAATGAAACATTGTCTTTTCTCTGATTCAGATTGACTTTTCGTCGTCATTTCGATAGTCGTATGTGAACTAGCGGCATTGCGACGGGAATGGTGTCACTGTCCAAGACACCAAGATCTCAAGCCAGAGCAAGAAATATGTACTTGATACCCAGAACTGGTACTCTTTTCTTCTTCTCGGACATAATTTAGTCACCTGAAATGATAAGTTCCAAGTAGTTGCTATATCGAACTTGACAATGGTTCTTGACCATCCATCTCAATCCTGGACCCCTTGAATCAGATTCTTGATTCCCTCACCATTCATAGTTTTCTTCCACGCTTCCGGAGCTTGATTGAAGGGAGTAACGCTACTAATCAGAGACGAAACTGACACCTTTCCGGATTCAAGAAGCCCAAGAGAAATGTCAAAATCCCCAGGGCCATATCGAAACGAGGTTTTCAATACCATTTCTCTCTCGCACATGGCATGAAGAGGCAAAGTCTGCATAGCTTTTCCAAGTCCAATTTGAACAAAAACACCTCCGCGTCTCAAAGAATAGATACCAAGTTGGGCTGATGATTCGACTCCGGTGCATTCCAGGACAACGTCAGCACCGTCGACAAGACCAGTCTCTTGTTTCAACCTAGCAGCTTCCTGTTCGGGTGTTGAAACGGAATTCGATTGGGGCTTATAGGTTTGGCACTTGAGACCTTTTTCTGCAAACTCAAGTTTGTTCGCGTTGATATCGGTGATGACGACCTGCTTGGCTCCATACGCCCACGCTGTTGCCGCTGTGAGATAGCCCACAGCCCCCGCTCCTTGGACTATGACTATATGGCCAGGCCGTACATCGGCGAGACGAACACCATGGACTGCGACACTCAAGGGTTCCACGAGTACAGCCTCTTCCAGGCTGACGGAGTCGGGAATTTTATACGCGAAGTCCTCTGGGATCTTGAAATATCGAGAAAGCGTTCCGTGCGTCGAAGGGGGATCCGCAGCGAACTTCATCTTCTGGCAGAGATTGTATCGTCCGGATTTGCAGTATGTGCAACTCTTACATGAGAAGCCCGGTTCAATAGCCACGCGGTCACCAGGCTCGAGGTTCGAAACCGCTGGGCCGGCTTTGTAGATGATTCCGGAAGCTTCATGGCCCATCACCAGAGGATGCCCCTCAGAAACCTTTCTTGCAAACCCGCCTTCTGTCCAGAAATGAACCTGCTGCTGTCAGCGTTATATCGAAGACTGTTGGGTTGATACTCACATCGCTACCACAAACACCTGTATATGCAATCTTCACAATTACATCATGCGGATCTTCAATCTGAGGGATTGGCCTTTCACCGAAGCGAGCGTCTTCAGGGCCATACAGAAAGCATGATGGGTTCTATCAAGCTTTTGTCAGTCCATTATTTATCAAAAGCTGGGGCGATACTGACCGTCTCACTCATAGTGTAAAGTAAGATAGAAAAGGTCCAGAACCAAAGGACAAAAGACGCAAGTGTATGGATACTTTCAAAATTATGAAATCTTTGCTACAATATATGTATATATATTCGACACGGCTGTTACTGTAGTCGCAGTCAGGTGATAATTCTCTTCGGGTCACTGTCCTCCGAAGGAGGGGAAGCATGACTGCATTGCCGATGTCACCTCTTCATCGCGAGCAATCAGAACAGAGAATTGAAATGTTGGGGATGACCGGGTTGTGGTAGGCCATTCCAGTGCACAATCCATCTACATCGCATCGCCGGCATGGATATGATAATTCGACAATATCTTTAAAAATGATCGATAGTATATACAAAGTTTGATTTTCGTGACTGTAATGAGAAGGGTAGATAGTTTAACCAGCTATAGACCTTTAACGGGCAAAAATAGCTTGAATACTCTTGTTCTATATAGATTACCTAGACACATGATAATTTGAAATCATTCTCGGACTCAACTCAGTGGTCATTACTTTGTGGATATTTGCACTCTTATTCAATACCGACCGCCGTAAACTAAATCTATGACACTTTAGAGTCCCTCCCTTTAACTGTCTTATGGCAACACGTAGCCTCCATCAATCAGAAGATCGCTTCCAGTCATGTAAGTTGAAGCGTCGCTAGCAAGGTACAAGTAAAGACCCTTGATCTCCTTGACATGTCCCTGTCTTCCAAGAACAGCCATGCGATACGCCTCATTAAGCGCCTCGAGGCTTGCACCCATCTTTGTATCAAAGAAGCCAGGAGATACGATATTCACACGAGCGAACTCACGCCATTCCCTAGCGAGAGACTTTCCAAAGTGTGTTATAAAGGCCTTGCTCCCGTTATAGACTGGCTGATCAGTTGGTACGTTGACGATATGGGCACTCATGCTGGAGGTGATAATGAAGTTCCCGAAACCCTGACGCTTGAAAATCTCGCCGGCGTATTTGGCAGAGAACACAACTCCGTCAACTACATGATTTTTAGTGGGGCCAAAGACGTTGGGAGTGATCACTTACCATTCACCGACATCTGCTTCCTGTATTCTTCCAGAGTTTGCTCAAGGATGGGTTTTGATATTGCCATGCCTATCACCAATTTCTTAGCTCTATCCAGAATACCATGATCCTTAGCCCGGAAACACTCACCTGCATTTGCAACATAGACATCGATTTTGCCAAAATCGTCAAGAACGGCCTTTAGGGCATCTTGAATTTGCTTTGAGTCGGATACTGAGGGAAACATTCGTGTTAGGTGCTGCTAGGGGCTCTGCTAAGGAAGGTACCCACCGTCGATCTTGTAAGCAGATGCCTTGATGCCATGTTGCTCTGAGAGCAGTCGAGCCTTTTCAATTGCAGCGTCATTCCTAAAACACGTATTAGGATAGTTTGGTTAAATCAATCGAAAGAAGAGTACTATGAGCAACTCACGAGTTATACCAAAGAGCAACATTTCCGCCGGCCTCAGCGTAGCCCTCAGCTACCGCATACCCTAGACCATCGGCAGCTCCGTTAACAACGAGGACCTTTCCATTCAAGCGAAGCTGCTCCACCACATTGTTGGGGATATTGGGAAAGGGTTTAGGGAAGCCCTCTCGCACTTTGGTGGCATCTTCGACTGACATAGACATGATGAATGAATTCTTGGTGCCTGACAATGACACAAGCACAAGAGCAATCAATATATACACTTAAAAATGAGAAGAAGGAGAGGGGTATCATTATATGAGACCTCCGTGCGTTCATCTGTTCTATCTCTCCCAAAACCCCCCCCACATCGGAGCACTAAACACCGACGCTGGACCGCACGAATCCCCAGATTAACTACAATGATTCGATGGGTAATAATGTGACTTTTCCCCCATATTTCTTTTTCCAGTTCTATGCGCGCCAGTCACACGGTCTGTTAGTCTCGGTATACAGATCGAAACACAGAACCCGCCTTTCCTGATTAGGAGTCTAGACTGCAACGACATCTCACCCGGTATCAAACCTTGTAGGGGCTGAGGTCGATATGTATGATAGTGTCAATACCTTACTTCTGAAATGCATTAACTTTGTACTTGGAAGGCAAAAGTATTTGCGATCAATTCAAGGTACACGGCAATTAGCGACAGCGGGGCAGCTCAGCTTATCATTGAACGGCTGATTGGCCAATCTCAACCAGGGTCTCGTTTTTGTGGCTGTCTGACAGCAGGAAAGATATCTTTCCCCTGATGACGATGCAACCTGGCTTTCACAACGTCTCCCGAGCATCTGCAATCTGCAATCTTCAATTGTCAGGAGTTGTAAGTATAACAGACCCAACTGGCTAAGATGTGGCTTCTGGGGCTTCAAGATGGCGGCTCCTCGCTCCTCGCGCGCCTCCTCCGCTTCTCAGGCGTGATACTGGCCGCGTTACTCGCCTACGCCTTTCGAAAAGGTTATCGAGTTCGCAAGAAGTTCCAGGCCCTCAAGGATCAGGGGATCGTATGTATTCCTGTCATCACTAAATGACCTCAGTTTCTGATGCAAGAGATAGCCCATTATGAAACATTCTATGATTCTCGGTCACCTTGAAGTTGTTGGGAAACTCGTATCAACACTTCCACCTGACGCCCACGGCGATTACCTGATGCTAAAGATTCAAGAGAACTGGCGAGAACTCTTCCCTCAATGCACAAAATGCCCACCCGTTGCTTATATCGATACGTGGCCCTTCACGGCCCCGATGGTTATCTCTCTCAACGCAAATGTTTCGGCTCAGTTCACACAAGAACACTCATTACCCAAGGCTTACGAACAAAAGCATGTTCTCTATCCCCTCACAAAGAACCGAGATTTGGCCTCTATGGAGGGTGCGGAGTGGAAGGTCTGGCGTAAAAGACTGAGCCCAGCTTTCAGTATTCAAAACATTAATAGCCGTTTACCAGACATTCTTGAAGAGGTGGAGGACTTTGCCAATGTTCTCAAGAGCAAAGCAGGAAAAGACGGAGAATGGGGCGAGGTCTTCCCACTTGGAGATGCCACTGCCAACCTCACTCTCGATGTCATCATTCGCCTCTTTCTGTAAGTTCCACTGTGTCTCGGAAGATTTGCCGATGTCAAGTACTGGATACCAATAACGTCACAAAGGAACATTCGCATCCACGAGCAGTGGGGAAGAAGCTCGCCTGTTTGTGCCGCCCTCCTTGACAGCATTTCTAGGTTGTACTTCTTCGTCAATCCTGCCAACTTCATCCAATACTGCAATCCGTGGCGCCATCTCAGACTCTGGCAGAACTACAGAACTCTTGTCAAAAGCTTCACTCCTGCCCTTCAAGAACGCATGAACAAGCTTCAGCAGGATCGCACAGCGAAGGGAAAGACACTGGTCGATCTAATCGTACAGGCTCTCGAGGCCGAGAGAGCTGAACAGAAAGGAGCAGGACAGGACAGCAAGGACCAATCGAGCATGGAGCTTGACGCTGACTTCCTGGAGATGGCAATTGGGCAGATCAATACTTTCCTCTTCGCAGGTTTTGATATCACTGCGGCAACTATTGCTTGGCTTTTCCGCTTGCTCAGCGAATATCCAGATGTTTTGGCCAAATTGCGAGAGGAGCATGATACAGTCCTTGGCCCGAATGCCTGGGGTGCTGCAGATGTGATAAGGGAGAACCCGCAGTTGCTAAACCAGCTCCCTTACACACTAGCTGTACTTCGTGAATCTATGCGTTATCATACCAACGTCGGTTCAATGCGTCGTGGCGAGCCCGGGTTCTTCCTCGTGGGTCCGCCAGGCTCCGATCCTGGATTTGAGGGGAAGAAGCTGCCAACCGAGGACTTTATTGTTTGGGATGGGTCATATGCAATCCATCGTGACCCTGACATCTGGCATAGAGCCTGGGAGTTTCTTCCAGGACGATTTCTTGTCACTGATCCAGAGGATCCCTTGTACCCGCCACCCAACGGCTGGCGTTCATTCGAGGCCGGGCCACGGGTTTGCATCGGGCAGCATCTTGCCACCGTTGAGATAAAACTAGCAATGGTACTGGTAGCGAGATGCTTCGATGTAGAGTGTGCATGGGAAGAATGGGACCAGATCAAGTAAGTCTCCTGGTTTCTCAATCGCGTTTCGGGCTGCGTGACTGACCAAAGCTTTTCGTACAGTGGAACTACAAACTCTGAAAAGGCACGACCGACTGTCTGGGGTGATCGTTGCTATCAAGTTGGGACAGATTCGCCGCCACGGGTCAAGAATGGTATGCCTGTGCATGTCAGGACGCGTGGACTGTAGAGTTGAGTCGACGTTGAGAAAAGTGATAATAACTGAGCGAGCAAGAGGCTGTTGCGCATTGGAGTCGATGGGGGCTAAATCAGACTGGTAGGTATTGCTAGCAAAAGACTCAACTAAGTATCTGTGAACACAGCATCCTGGAATTGGTTATATAGGAGCGACAGTCACAACGAAGCTCTATCTCAGTTGTTATATCTTTGAAACGATCTAGTATACGATATGGTAGCATTGCTCCCTATTTGGATAGACCCCCCAGAGCAATATCTTTCCTATACACCATGTCGTCGAAAGACACGCAGCCGACACCCATATAAGCCTTGCGACGTGCCTCTTCAAGGGTATCACCGTAAGCAGCTACCGAAAAGACACGCCCTCCCGCGGTCTTCAACAAACGGTCCTCCTTACGGGTCCCAGCATGAAAGATAACCACCCCCTGGGGCGGAGAACTCAATGTAGCAACCTTTCCAGTTTTGTAATCTCCTGGGTATCCGCCAGATGCAATAACAACATTGCATGCAAAACCTGACTTAATTCTGATGCTGTCTTTCACTTGTGCGAGTGTCCCATTTGTACATGACAGCATGACCCTCGCGAGGTCAGTGTCTTCATGGATAAGAAGCATCGAGCTTTGGGTCTCTGGGTCGCCGAAGCGAACGTTGTACTCGATGACTTTAGGCCCCGATTTGGTGACCATGACTCCAGTGAACAGCAGGCCACAGAAAGGACGGCCTGGTAGGGTTATTAGCGGCCGAATTGAAACTAGGTACTATGCGTAGCTCACCCTCTTTTGCAAGAGCATCAAATGTAGGTTTCAAGATGACTTCATCAATCTTCTGTAAGACATCTGGGGTAACCATAGGCACAGGTGAGTAAACGCCCATGCCTCCAGTGTTGGGTCCCTTGTTTCCCTCCAGAATGCGCTTATGATCTTGCCCAGGCGGAAGAGAAAAGAAGGTCTTGCCGTCGCTTAAGGTCAAAATGCTAATTTCGTACCCGTCCATGTACTCTTCGATTACGACTGAGGAGCCTGCCGTAGAAAATTTGCCGTCGTTCATGATGTTGCGAAGATCTTCCAGTGCTTCTTCTGTTGTTTCGGGGAGAACCACGCCCTTACCTGCGGCAAGGCCGTCTGCCTTGATGACGATGGGGTGGGGTTTGTCGGTGAAAACATGGCGCACGTATGCACTGGCAGCCTCGAGGTTGTCAAAACTTCGGTGGTAGGCAGTCGGAATGCCAAACCTATTCATGAACTCCTTCGCAAAGACTTTGGAGCCTTCAAGTTCTGCGGCCTCGCGCGAAGGTGCGAAGCAAGGCACGCCAACTGAAAAGAGGAAATGTAAGTTAGGTAAGGTTGATGGACAGAGATCGACAGCTGCTCCCTGACCTTTGCGAAAGAATTCTTCGATGCCATTCACCACATCGTCATCAGGCCCAACAACTACCAAACCTATACCGACTTCCTTGGCACGCTTCGCCAAATCGTGGTATTCCGAGCTGCTAACGTCTTCCAGGGAGGAAATCCCAGCTGTGTTGTTGCTGGCTTTAACCTCATGTGTGCCAGCATTGCCAGGGAATACGAAAACATGTTTGACTGATCTGGATTGACTCAGCTGCCAGGCCAAGGCATGCTCTCGGGCACCTTTCCCGATAACAAGCACCTGGAGGTCTCTTTCAGTCATTGGCTAATGTTAATAAGGCGACGTGATCTGTGATCACAGCTGATACCTAGTACCTGAGTGTCAGTTGATGGTACACGGGCGGGTGAAATCAGGCTGCAGGGAGAGGGTGAAGGCGTGAAAAGGTGTAAAAGTGATGGGATGGGAGGGTTAAGGAGGAGGAGGAGGAGGAGGAGGAGGCCGTGGTGTGAAAATGCTCAATTCCTTACTCTCAGTGCCTCCTCAAGGTTGGCCTCTGCACACGAGAACTTACATAACTCTTGATAACTGCCTACGTGCTGACCTGCTAATCAGATTTCCTTTTAAAAGGAAACCTAATGTGTTTTGGCGCCGATAAGGCCTGGATTCGCAGGCATCAACCAGAGCGGCCGTTGGCGAAAGGACCAGGACCAGCAATAGGTAAGGTACTATAGGTAGGTACGCAGCCTCAAGAAGTTAAAATTTGAGGTGAATATTAAAGTACGTCTTATCTAGGTACCTATCTACTTTATGTTTCGCTTGCTCTACTGTTTTATGTTGGGTGCTGTTGCCTCTAGCCTTTGGAAGACTTACTAGAAACTTTACATACCTAGATTATGAAAGGCGCACAAAAACTTGAGCAACAAAAACACTTCTACGTATATGTATGTCATATTTCCTTGATAAAGCTTTCATCGCGATAAGTTGTCTGTATCAGTACCTATATTAGTCCTACATTCCATGCCAGAATATGCCCTCTGAGCTTCGGCATCGAGATTATTACCAATGCTACATATACTTATTCCTCGACCATCCTGTAACTGTATTACAGGCTGACCTGGCTGTACACTCAGATAGAAACTATGGCCATGGTACATGATCATATCTTCGCTGGAGTCAATTGCAATATTCAAATAGCCAGTCAACAAGCAGACATGTTGTGAGGGCATTAGTTTTGGTAATAGTAGAGGGTGCACTTCTGTGTAACAAAAATGACGAAGCTAAGGATGCTGTCAACAGGATCATGGCTGAGCGTGCTTTCGGCGAACTGGAGAATAAATCGTCATTGAGTAGCGCCTGGCTGGTCCTGAATCGAGTGTCGTCACAATCACGAATGCAAATGTACGGAGGATGTTCCCAGTCGTCCAAGATGCACCGAGAATATATGACGGAAACCTTGGATCTGATACAGGCGGCATGGAGGTTTATATCCCATCAGACCTAGTCACTGTCGAGAAAATTCTGGAATTCCAGCAGACGATCCTAGAATCAACCATCAGGGGGCCTTGGGGGCTCAAGAACGAAGGCAAGGTGGCCCCATATTCACCCTATCAGTCATGGTCTGATAGACTCTAGATAGAGAGTCGGCTGAGTTCATCTGCACTGCAATAATGCAGACTGTCGATGGCTCAAGGCTTCTGGAATACAGCAACTGGTTTGGTGATCCTGACACAAGTCTTCTTTCCACTCCCCGAAGATGCCTCAGGTCTTGCAGATATAACGATAGCATGTGCCGAGGCGCAGCTGGAGCGCGTACACATGCAGTTCCAATAAAAGGCCTCCAGTTGATATCTGGGGGCGTATCGAGATCATCGACTTTGGAGCATTGCCGTAAGGTGTTGTCCCTGGTTCCCACCTATTTTATGTCTAAGCGTTCTCGTAGATGTGTTGGTCTTCAATGTAGGCACCTCATTAGGAGGGTTCTGGCGGTGGTTTTTGGTAGTCAATTCCACAGAAGAAGCCATCAAAGGAGCTTACAACAGCGCCCGAGAGATAATTCCAAGGGGGAAATAGCTAAGGACGAACCTCGGTCAAATTCTCTCTTTGTGGTAATAATCTGCAATTGGACTTGTAATGGTCCATAGAGAGAAAACTGAGTTTTCTACATGTCAGACTGAATGGTCGTGTTTTCAGACTCGCTCAGATACCGTCACTTAGATGGGCTACCGGAGAGCATTTTGTTGTAGGTCTCTTGAATTTTTCAGTCTTGTTTCACACTAACAGGCTTTCCAGTTGGGTTAGAGTATGTATCGGAGGAAATAGTAGATCTCGACGTTCAGATGCCACTGGAAAATGACCAAGAACTCCAAATTATTACCTTGGTTAGCTTCGGATCTCCTGCTATGAGCATTCCGGCGTTGCTATTGGATTTCCGATACGTGATCGGTGATAAGCAAGATGGTGTGGAGCTTCATCACCAAATGCTTGTCGCCCAACGAAGTTAAACGGGAATAGAGAACCATTAAGTCCGTGATGCCAATACTATAAGGCGCAGCACAGTATCAGCACATATGAGAAACAATCCACAAACCGAGCTCGAAGCTTACACAGCCTCTATTTACAAATCCTCTAGCATTGAGTCTCATCAACAATCAGATCAAAATGGCAACTCCAGTTTGGTTCATTACCGGAAGCTCCAACGGCCTTGGCCTACTTCTCAGCTTGAGAGTCTTGAAAGCAGGACACAGAGTCATTGCAACTGTCCGAGACACAGCGAGATCAGCCGATGCTGTCCGCCAAATCGAAGAAGCTGGAGGAAAGATCATCACCATTGACCTGACTGAATCCAAGGCCAGCATCACCAAGAAAGTGCAAGATGCAGAGAAGGCTTATGGGAGGGTCGACTTTTTGGTGAATAATGCTGGGTACTCCGTCTTGGGAGGCATCGAGCTCTTTACGTAAGTCAGCCCTGTATTGTTGAAACGACTGAGCGCGCACTAAAGCCTGTGGTAAGGGAGGCCGAGGCCGAACATCAGATCCAGACGAATTTATTTGGTCCTTTATACACTATTCAAGCTGCCCTCCCCGGAATGAGAAGCCAGGGCTCCGGTACTATCATCAACATTAGCAGTATCGCTGGCCAAGATGCCCAACCTAGCTGCGGACTCTACAGTGCCAGCAAGTTCGCTCTCGAAGGTCTGAGCGAGAGTTTGTCTAAGGAGGTTAAAGAGTTCGGTATCAATGTTTTGCTGGTTGAGCCCGGTGCGTTCCGTACAAATTTCCTGGAGGCCAGCATTAAGAGCAATATTTCTGGCGAAAAGGCATATCAAGGGACGTTGTTGGAAGCAACACTTCAGAGGTTTGAGAAGGCAGCTGGAAAGCAGCCTGGAGATCCCAGTAAGGCAGTGGAAATCATCTTCGAGGTGGCCACGGGCGGGGGAGCAGCAGGTCATCTAAAGGGAAAGATCCTGAGATTACCCTTGGGCCAAGATTGCTTTACTCGTCTGAATAAGAAGCTTGATTTTCTTCAGCATGATATTGAAGCAACACGAGAGGTGGGTATCACAACGGACCTAGACGGGAAGTAGACTGGCATAGGAAGCTCAAGTCACAAGGCAGTCAACCAAGATGCTACAATATGACCACCAGTTTTTATCACGAGTACATACTGTCAATTATCAGCTAGAGTCTCATTCGAGCATTCCATGGTACGTCTTAATGAAAGACAATGCATACATGCCCCATAGCATATCGGCCCAGGTTACAATACAGATGGCTTGGTTTGATGTCGTGCACAACGAACTCTTTGTCATAATGAAAGCAATTGCCAGCCAGTCCTCAAAAGCGCATTGAGTTGCAGGTTTGTCAAAACCTAAGTAGACATAAAAGAAAGCACAAAGACCGACTTAAAGGCCGGCATTGTGGAACAAGGCAAGTGTCGAGTAAACACCATGGTGTCTTTGTCCGGGAACGGCAACAATGGGCCTAGCAAGGCCAGGTTGTTAGCCCAAGGCATGTTTACAGACTGAACACTTGAAATCATGCCTCATGAAAGGGTTGAATGAACATTGTAGGCACATAACAGCGCATGGAACTGAACGAGCTTATAAGACCAGGCGACAAGCCATAGATTTCTACTGAATCCTAACTCAACACTAGCAGTGCGATCATTTTCAGTTATTGCCCATTCAACATATCAAACTGCTCTCATTAGTGAGAAATAATGTATCCCGAGAGGCCACAGTCAGTTGCAGACTTAGTTCCGCTTCCGCAGGGCAATGGCCCCAAGATAAAGGCCTTCGACTTCCAGGGCCCCCAGCAGATCGAGTTCTTAGATCATCTAGGATCAGGAATACATTCCATTGTGTTCAAAGTGAGAATCAAGGGTCAAATTTATGCTCTCAAACTTGCAAGTGTCAATTGAATTGGACAAAGTACAACCAAAGACTAACAAGGAGTAGTTCAGGTTCCCGAGCGACGAAAGCTGGGTGTCACCAGCGCACGAGGACAACTGGGATGACCCAAATGCACTCGGAGCCTTTTACCCTTATTCTGAGCCTTTCACCTGCGAATGCCGTGCATTTGGCCGACTCCAAGAGGCCGGTCACGAAGAACTGGCAGTCAAATGTTTCGGCTATATTCTGCTGGATGATGCACACGAAAACACCATGATGAATCAGTTCGCCCATCTCCCCGCCCACAAACTCAGCTTCACCTACGATGGCTATAATGATGATGACGAAGAAGAATATTACAATGATCCTAACCTTCGAGATATGAGGTCTCGTTTTCGTTGCAGCGATGGTAGCCTCCCGCCACTTCGAGGGATCGTTAAGGAGTTTGGAGTGAGCAAAGACTTGGATCACAAAAGCGCCAAAAGGATCCTCAGAGACATCAAATATGTACAGCAACTTGGAATTACGGACCTAGATATTGCATACAGGCAGATCATCAATGGTAAGCTGTCCGATTTCAGCACATCCATCACGGTTCCTCACTTTGCCAGCAACCCAGAGTGGAATCCACATCTCACCCAACGTTGCAGATCGAAGATAGAGTTTGAGCTTTTCGTCACCTGCTACAAGGACTTTCGAGACTTTGATATAATGATACACGAATGGAACGAGGATCACAAGGACAAGCAAATCAATGTCAAAGCCCTGCCCGAAGGATACCCCCCGGAGAGCAGGCGGTTGAGAAACACTTCGGCCCAAAGGCGACTCTATACTCATGTTGATCCGAGGAACTACACAAGGTATTTTCCATATACTAACAGTCGAGGAGAGATTGTCAAGAGAGAATGCGCTCTTGGAAGGAAGCCATCCGCGTGGTATATGGAGTGCTCAGCCGCCGCAGTGCGCAGACTCAAAGAAACCAGAAAGATTGACGCCGGTCTTCATTGGCAGTACCTGAATGGGCATATCGCGCCCTTGAACTAGGGGTAGCGCTCATTTAACCAGATGCATATGAGGAAGAGTCAGAGGCTAGCGAGTTCAGACTTCGCAAAAGAAAACCTGTATTACTAGAATCATAGACTTACTTGCTATTTATTTAGCATACAGAAGGATACCCCATCAGGGTTAGAGGTATTAGACACAAGACTTTAGCTATCAAAAGACATGTGCTCCTAGGCCTTGTTTTAAAACGATTTGTTCCCAATTGCATGAGGTCTATACTTGAGTTTTCAACAACGACGTGAACAGGTGTAGGACAATATCTTAACGTAGTCTTGAGTGCTATGAGTATTTGGTCAGTTCGAGGTGACGACCTTGATATCTCACGATGTCAACAACCAGCTTGTGGTGGACGGAGCAGGTCGACGCTTGGTCACTGTCGCCCACATTATTTTTGTGTCGTATCTGCAGACGGCGAGTAAGAGTGAATCTATAGAAGTTAGCAACAGATTCTTGCCCAGTCAATATCGAGCCATACCCGGTCAGCCATCTGAAGCCACTCCTCCATACTACGAACATAAGGATCTGCACTGGCATCTGCCACAGTCTCATGTCCCCAAACGACCATCTCGTCAAACTCTGCAGTTATTTTCATGCTTCCTATTTGTTCTGGCTCTTGGTCGGCATCGAGATCCTCTATCACGTCCTCGTTGGTACTTTTGGGGTCCTTTTCGGGAGCTCTTTCGACAACAACACCTCGGCATTGTTCTGGCATTTTGACCACCTTTCCTTGAAGTTTTCTGCCTCGGAAATATGCTAGCTTTGTGCCCTCTTCTCAGACTATCAGTAAGCTCATGGCAACGGGATTCGTATCCAGGGACACAAACCATCGGTGGTAGTCGGGGTCCAAAATGTCGATGCCTGGTCAATTGACCCATCATGGTGTATACGGCATGGCAAAAGATTCGCCACAGCTTTAAATTTGTTCTCGTCGGGTGTTAATGAGAGTATTGGCTGCGACATTGTGGTAGGGTTGATTTGTTCGTTGTGAAGAGAAGGAGACGCGTCGAGACGCGTAAAGAGCTCCGAGGGTGACAGGCTTATCTTATCTCACACGCAATCAGTCAAAACGGGGTCTAGTGTGTCGGTAGGGAACATATTAGCACCTCTCTTACAACATGAACTCAGGTTGCCTTATGAATTGGAACTCTGGTCTCACTTCAGCTGGTTTAACCCGGTGAGAAATTACGACCAAACTGGGCTTCTTCTGTACAAATTAATCCCAGAATGCCAAGGTCAATGGTTGGTAGGATAGTTCCCTACCTCTGAAAATCAGGGCGTACTTCGATAAACCATGGTTATCCAATAAATAATAGTTCTTGCTCTATGGGTATCTTAAACTTTTTGGGGATGTACTTGTTTATGCCACTCCATCATTTTCTCTTCTTTTTCGATTTGACGCCTTTTTGGCCGCCTGATGCTGGTTTCGGCGCATATCGATTTGCATGGTCAACGTCAAACGCCTGCTTGTGCTTGCGAAAAAGCAACATAGTTGCTCGCGCATCCTCAATACTAGAATGTGCGCCTCCCTGTATCTCAACGCCCAGGATCTTTTGAGCGAGAACCCGTAGGGCTGGCTTTCTTCCATTTCCATATTTCTTGAACCCTGGGAATTTGGCGGTATCGCGTATGTCTTTTCCGGGGTGGCTGAGAATGAGGGCGTCTAGATCATGCTTGAGATCATGTCCAATCAATATTCGGCCTTGGAGAAGCTTGTCGATGTCTGCTTGAACTTCTTCAAATTCTCTTGCAAATCTCATCTTCTTTTGGTCAACTCCACTGACCGCTGTTCTCCAGTTTGTGACCTTCTCCTTAGGCTTCACATAAGAGTCGTAAATCTGCACACCGTGAAAATCGACGATGCTCACGCGAGCGAGAGCTGATTCATGACCACCTGGCCCCACGCCAACCATTTCGCAATCGATAGCGATGTATTTCCCAACCTCAATCCCTTCTGTGATTCCATGGTTGATTTTGTCCTTTGCTGAGGCGAGCATCATCGAATTGTCCTTTGCGCCCAGACTGTATGCCTCTGCCAGGGCTTCTGCAGACACATCATGGTCTTCGGCCCATAGTGCAAGAGATGTTGAGGTCCCAGATACTGGCTCCTCAATTTTCGAACTGTGAACGCCACCCATTGGCTTTTTGGCTGTTGTTTGAGCTGTTTTTGTTGGTCTTCTAAGCGGTTTTGGGTGCGACTTATGCACCTTGGACTTTTTAGCTGGTGGATTCGTTGGTAAGGTCTCTGATTTGCGCTTGAGAGATGGATTTGATGCAGACTCTTCCTTGAGTTTCGCCTGGAGCTTCTTCCAGTTGGAAGAAAGCGCCGCCATCTTCTCAAAAGAAGATAACGCTCGACATGGAATTTCTAGAAGAAAAATTGAACTGTTTGTACAAGTCGCAAAAAGAGCACCAGATGGAGCGGGCGGCTTTCCGAGTGATGAGTCTAACAGAGTTTATGCATTTAAGAAAGGATAGATAGGCATCGCTCTCACCGCCTTACTGATAAGAACTCCAACCCATTTTCTGCCATGCCCCTCCAAGATTATTTCCTTCCCTTCTCTATCTTGCGATACGAGTCCATCAACGCGACAATCATCAAATATTATCCAACCATCCTGTTTCCATCATGGCCGGTGGCACACCTAGCGGCGAACCCACCGTGGGCTCAGGCGAGCCTCGACTAAAAAGCCTTGCGACCCCAGAGACAATAACAACAGGTTGTATTGCCTGGGTCGAAAAGGAAGGTCAACCACGACGCGCCGAAATCCTTAGTATCAAGACGACAAAAAGCGGCAAGCAATTCTATTGCAATTTTGATAACTTCAATAAACGATTAGATGAATGGGTTCCTGTGATTAGGCTGGACTTTACTCGAGAGGTCGAATGGCCAAACCCAGAAAAGGACAAGCCCAAAGACCCCAAAACGAAGAAAGCGCCCGCTGCACAATCCAAGAAGACACAACCTTCTAAGAAGTCACAAAAGAGGCCTGGGAAGCGGGAGCAATCGGTTGCTTCAGAGGCAAATACCCCACATCCATGGACTGGTAGGTATCTCAATTCCTGGACTCGAATTCAAAGCTGACGTCCCTCTCGACTTCGTAGAATCCCAAAATCGTCAGAAGTCTGCCTCGATCGGGCCCGATGGGGAAAGCCAAGCTCGCGCCAGTGTTGATGGTGCAACACCTGGTGGAGGCGACGACATGGATGTAGATGAGAAGGAAGCTGAAGTCAAAAGGGAACCAGCAGAATTCAGCCGTGAAGTCGAGATCGAGAAGCTCCGCACATCCGGCTCGATGACACAGAACCCGACCGAAGTATCTCGAATTCGAAATATCTCCAAGGTACAATTTGGGCGTTTCGACCTTTACCCCTGGTACTTTTCACCTTATCCCGAAATCTTCAGTCAGGAGGATGTGATCTTCATTTGCGAATTCTGTTTAAGTTACTATGGAGATGAGAAGGCCTTTACGCGACATCGACGAAAGTGCACGCTACAACATCCACCTGGAAACGAGCTTTACCGGAACGAAGATATATCATTCTTTGAAATCGATGGTCGGCGACAACGAACGTGGTGCCGCAACCTCTGTTTGCTGTCCAAGATGTTTCTTGACCACAAGACACTGTACTATGACGTGGACCCCTTCCTGTTCTATGTCATGACTGCGCGAACCGAAAAGGGATGTCACTTGGTAGGATACTTCTCTAAGGAAAAAGAGAGTGCGGACGGATACAATGTTGCCTGTATTCTAACCATGCCGCAATACCAACGCAAAGGCTATGGTCGACTTCTGATTCAGTTCTCGTATGAACTTTCTCGCATTGAAGGAAAGCTCGGGTCTCCAGAAAAGCCATTGTCGGATTTGGGTCTGCTGAGTTACCGACAGTATTGGTCAGAGAACATTCTGGAGCTACTTATGGGATACAACGAGCGTGAGGAGAAGGTCACGATCGAGGCGATATCAGCAGCGCTGGCTATGACAACACAGGACGTGGAGCACACCCTGCAAGCTCTCAGGATGCAGGTATACCACAAGAGCGACCACAAGATTGTGATTCCTGAGAAGTTGATCCAGCAACGGGAGAAGACCAAGTTGAAGAGGAAACGAACAGTGGACCCAACCAAGATTCAATGGAAGCCCCCAGTGTTCACAGCTTCAAGCCGGACATGGGGTTGGTAATTATAGACATGAAGTAGAGATAGCAAGCGATGTGTGTATAGATAGCTTTAAATGATACCCCTGTTCCATCAATATCATATATATCGGTTGGCTGCACAAGCCATGACGCACGCACGCTACCTTATGGTTTGGCTGATGAGCCCCACGCTGGAGCTCTGGCCGAGCTTGTCTCGCCCTACGTAATCGGAGGGATAATAATGCGACAGCTGTAACACTTCAACTCTTACAACTTCCATTCTCGTGTTGACTTTTAGCCTTTTACGTCCAATTCACACCGACCTAAGTTACAAGAAATTGCTATGTTTACATCCTAATTTTGCCATCCCTGAGTCAACAGCACACCTTCTAGTGAGCCTACCATCATGTCACTTCGCATATTGGCATCAAGCTTGCTTGGCTTGAGCGCGACCCTTGCCAGCGCCAGTCCAGATGACGAACAGAGACCTCTTGGCGACTACCATCGCATATGTCCCGACTATACACGATATGCAGCATATCCTCAGTATGTTATTCCTGCTGTGCAGCATCCTGAACCCTTCTGACATCACTTTTGCATAGCCGGCCTTTCAGTACTGGCCCTCGAGAGCTCCCCTACCAAAGACCAAGCACGAAATGCCGGACATTTCAATCAGACGCTATCGAAAAGGTCATTGAAGATGTGACGTCGCGTATGAAAGACCCCGATCTAGCACGACTCTTCGAGAACGCATTCCCTTCGACGACCGATACAACCGTCAAGTTCCACACCAAAGGAAAAGAAGATACAGGGTTCTTCCGCATGGGAAGCTTTGGGGGCTTCCATGACGAGGGAGCTTGGCAGGGACCACAGTCCTTCATCATAACGGGTGACATTATCGCGGAATGGTTACGCGACTCAACAAACCAGTTGCGCCCCTACCAGCCGCTTGCGAAGAAAGATCCAGCCATTCACACATTATTGCTCGGTGCCATCAATACTCAGGCCGAGTATGTGATTGAGTCCCCGTACTGTAACGCATTTCAACCTCCGCCCATCAGCGACTTACCTCTCTCGTCTAATGGGCAAGAAGACAACGTACACCCGGCATATGAGCCGCAAGCAGTATTCGAGTGCAAGTATGAGCTAGATTCTCTGGCACATTTCCTCGCTCTTGGCAACGATTTCCACGATCATACAGGCTCGACCGAGTTTCTAACCAAGAGATGGTACCGCGCTGTTGAAACCCTCATGAACGTGCTGACTGAGCAATCGAAGTCGACCTTCGACCCAAAGACTGGCGAGTTTCAACGCAACGAGTACACATTCTCGCGGCGCACTGACATTGGAACTGAAACACTCAGCCTAAAGGGTGTTGGTAATCCTCTAAACTGGGGCACAGGCCTGGTTCGATCAGCCTTCCGACCCAGTGACGATGCAACAATTCTCGGTTTCTTCATCCCCGCCAATGCGCAAATGTCTGTCGAGCTGAAACGAGCGTCCAAGATCCTCACGACGGCGGGTAAAACAACACTAGCTCAAAAATTAGAGGCTTGGAGTGCAAAGCTCCGCGAAGGCATCATGGAGCATGGCGTGGTCAAGCATAAGAAATATGGAGATGTGTTTGCATATGAAGTTGATGGATATGGCTCGTCGATCCTCATGGACGACGCCAATTATCCTTCGTTACTGGCACTTCCACTGACGGGATTCTGTGAAGTCAACGATCCAATCTACCGGAACACAAGGAAGATGTTGTTGGAAAAGAGTGGAAACCCTTACTATCTCGAAGGGGATGCATTCAAGGGTATCGGAGGTAGGATCTCTCATACATCCATTATTAGTACTGCCACTGACAGTTTACAGGACCGCATATCGGACTACGAAACGCGTGGCCGATGAGTCTTCTCATTCAGGCTCGAACCTCTAACGACGACAAAGAGATCAAAGATTGCATTGAGCTTGTGCTCGACTCTGCCAGGCTGGGCTTGGTCCACGAAAGTATTGATGTTCAACACATCACACAATACACGAGAAGTTGGTTTGCTTGGGCAAATGGTGTATTTGCGTCGACAATCTTGGATTTGGCTAAGAGGAAGCCACACTTGATCTTTGGTGAGGGCGCTGCGCCGTATGAGATATGATTGACGAGAATGCTGGGCCATATGGTGTTTGTGGCAACAAACAAATCAATAATAAATGCTCGATGGTTCCTGTACTGGTCTGAACACAGACAAATGTTGTTGTCTTGCACCCAAGAAAAGGCAGTGCAATGATAACCTGATAGTTATCGGATCTCGTTACCCCGGACCAGATTTTGAGCTAATGGACTGGCTGCGAGCACTGTAACAGAAAGGTCCACAGTTATCCGTCTCCAACCCTCACCATTCTAGGCAAGTTAGCCGTCTGCACCATTGACCATCGTCTTCGGCTCCATGAATATCCTCCAACCGGTCCGACATCGCTCACTTGGGCTCGCTGTTGACGTTGGCCTCTATAGAAATTACGCGATATATAAAGGAGGCCGACACCAATATCACAAAACGCTGCGTTGTAGTTCCTATCTGCTGTCTAATGACGCTGCAGCTTCCCCTCCATGTCGCCATAATAGCCATTGCCCCTCAGCATCATCATCACTGTCATCACCAACATGCATCAACACAGCCAAGATGACGGCGAAACCAACCCATGCTTCTGAATTCCCCTCAAATCTTCAGTCGGGGAAGCATCAGATTAACCTGATTCGTGGCTGGCCAAACCCAGGTCTTCTGCCTGTTGACCTTCTCTCAGCTGCTGCTCAGCGCAACCTTTCAGATCCAGCTATATACATTCCCGCACTGCAATACGGTCCAGATTCTGGATATCAGCCGCTACGTGAGGCATTAGCGACTTGGCTGTCGGAGCACTATCGTGTTGAACGAGATCCGGATCGTATCTGTATCTCTGGTGGTGCAAGTCAGAATGTCGCTTGCATTCTCCAGAGCTTCACAGATCCTAATGTAACTCAGGCTATCTGGTGCATTTCGCCCTCATACCACCTCGTCTTCCAGATCTTCCGCGACAACGGCTTCGAGGGACGCTTGAGGGCGACGCCAGAAGATGAGGAGGGTGTTGATATTGAAGCGTTGGGGGCCAAACTAGCTGAGTTTGAGAAGCACGCCCCAGAAGCCAAGGTATGATACTCGCGAATGCTGTGAGTAGTCTGTAAACTGACGCCGATTAGGCTCCTGTGAGTGATGCTGGAAAGTACCGTAAGCATTATCGACATGTCATCTACGCGGTTCCCACTTGCTCGAATCCCTCCGGCAAGACAATGTCTCTCCGTCGTCGCGAAGCTCTTGTTCAACTTGCACGCAAGTATGATGCCCTCATCATTTGTGACGACGTATACGATTTTCTCCAATGGCGCATCGACAGCGACCCTAGCAAAATTTCAAGCAGTCTGGGCCCTAACGAGCATCCAGAAATGCTACTCCCGCGCCTGTGTGACATTGACTTGGCTATGGGTCGTGCGAACAACGATCCCCATGGTTTTGGGCACGCTGTCAGTAATGGATCGTTCAGTAAACTCACTGGCCCTGGAATGAGAACTGGTTGGCTTGAAGGACCTCCTGCTTTTGCATTTGGATTGGCACAGACGGGTGCAACAAAGTCTGGTGGCTCGCCGAGTCAGTTTTCTGCGTCTATCATGGCCGATTTGGTTCAGTCAGGGGCTCTTCAGGAGCGACTTGCCACTACGCTCAGGCCTCAACTTCAACATCGACACCGGATCATGATGCAAGCTATACATAAGCATCTCGGGCCTCTCAATGTTGGCATCCGAGACGCTGGCCTTGTCAACGGCAGTGTTTATGGTGGTTACTTCGTGTGGCTCACCTTGGAAGAGGGTATCTCAGCCAAGCTTGTTTCAGAAGTCACGATGACCGAGGAGAATCTAGTTGTGGGAAATGGAACTATGTTTCAAGTGCCTGGCGATGAGGCTTCTGTTTATTTGGACAACGCCGTACGGCTGACGTTCGCATATGTCCCCGAAGAGGACCTGGTAGAAGGTGTTGAAAGGTTATCAAAGGTGCTTCGGAGGATAAAGGCCAGCCCTGAGAGATACAAGGCGGCGCTTGCTAGCACAATGGCCGATAGCGATATTATGGATGCCAACAAATGATTAGAATATGTTTTCTGCAGTCGTTGTCCTCCCTGATTCTTTTGAGTGGTCTTTCTAAATGCATTCTATTTCTTCGAAAAGAATGACATGATGTTGCCCTGTCCCTTTGGCGCCGGCTTCTTTGATTTAGAGCCCGTAGATGATGATGGTGTAGGTGTGGGAGCAGGGGCTGCCTTTTTGGTCAGTGGGGGGGCCTCATCCTCAGAAAAGGATTCCCAGCCAGGTTCCTGAATGGTAACTTTTGGCAATTAGCATCATAGCCTGATAAGATTGTAGCACAAGGAAGACTTACCCATATATCCTTGATCATCAAGGATTCGCTTCTTCTTCATTACGCGTCTTCTACCCCTCCTGCGCCCATCACCAGTGCTCGAGATCACTTCTGCTGGTTCGCTCTCTTCCTTCTTGGTCTCGGGCTCTGGCTCAGGTTCTGGTGCTTCTTCCATGTCTTCGTCGGCTTGCTCGGATTCCTTGTCGGAGTCTTCCTTCTCCTCTTCCTCGTCATCGTCTTCCATCATTTTCCGTAGTGCATCCTCACGTTCCTGACGCTTCCGCTTGATATCGGTAGAATCTACAGTGGACTTGGATTTGGTTGCTACGATGTCAGAGTCATCAGCCTCGCCGTCATCAGAGAGAGTCATGGTTGTGTCCTCTTCCTTCTTAGGGGCAGGCTTGGGTTTAGGCGGTCGTGCAGCCGCTTTTGCGAATGACTGCATGATACCGCCAGATACTCCTCGTTTAAGAGATGGCGTTGGCGTCTTCCCGCCACTTGGAGCTGGTGTTCCCTCCTTGGACGATGGAGCTGAAGACTCCTGTTTAGCAGACTTCATTTGCTTTGCCTCTGGCTTCACCGTTGACGTTTCTTCCTTGACCGTTGTCTTG